TCCATGTCCAGTTCTCACTGGACATGGAACCACTGATTGGTTCAAAACTGAGAAAGGAGTTTGGCAAGGCTGTATACTGTCACCCTGCCTTTTTAACTTATATGCAGAGCACATCATGAGAAGGGTGGGGCTAGATGAATCACCAGTTGGAATTAAGATTGCTGGGAGAAATAACAACCTCAGATATGCAGATGATACCAATCTCATGGCAGAAATAATGCGGGTGAAGGAGGAGAGCGCAAAAGTTGGCTTGAAACTCAACATTAAGAAAACTAAGATCATGGCATCTGGTCCTCTCACTTCCTGGCAAATAAATGGGGAAGAAATGGAGGTAGTGACAGATTTTATTTTCCTGGGCTCCAAGATCACTGCAGATGAGGACAACAGCCATGAAAATAAAAGATGCATGCTCCTGGGGAGGAAAGCCGTGGCAAATCTAGACAGCATACTAAAAAGCAGAGACATCACCCTGCCAACAAAAGTGCGTATTGTCAGGGCTATGGTTTTTCCAGTTGCAATGTATGGCTGTGAAAGCTGGACCATAAGGAAAGCTTGAGCGCCGAAGAAATGAGGCCTTTGAATTGTGGTGCTGGTGGAGACTCCTGCGATTCCCTTGAACTGCAAGGCGATCAAACCGGTCAGTCTTAGAGGAGATCAATCCTGACTGCTCTTGAGAAGGCCAGGTACTGAAGATGAAACTCAAATACTTTGGCCACCTAATGAGAAGGAAGGACTCCCTGGAGAAGAGTCTAATGCTGGGAAAAATAGATGGCAAAAGAAGAAGGGGATGGCAGAGAATGAAGCAGCTAGATGGAGTCACTGAAGCAGTGGTGTGAGCTTGAGTGGACTCCGGGAGATGGTGGAGGACAGGAATGCCTTGAGGAATGTTGGGGTAGCCATGGGTCAGGCACGACTTCGGGACTAACAACAACAACAACAACAAAGTGATGCAAATGGATCACAGCAAACTATTGAGTGATCTACATTTTCATGCCATTGGTCAAATGTAATAAGCCTTTGACCAGTTGAAAAATATCAGTTGGACAATTCTAAGTAGGTAGAGTAATGATGTAGTAATGATATGGCATTCTCCAGAAGGTAGGTCCAACTTATCTAATCTGGCAGGAAGTTCCCACTGAAAAGTGCTTCATCAAAAAGAATTTGAATGCACAATCAAATTCTAAAATATTTACCTAAGCCTTTAAGACTGCAGTTTCATTTGTGCTCTTGTGTCCTGCTGTGTAAACACGGGCCAACTGTGTTTATATTGGTTTGTTGATGGCAAATGTTGAAAAAGCTAGAAGTTTGGAAATGTTTTGCCAGACCTTTGCCTTATGCTTTTCAGTTTATTAATTATTTTTGTTTATAAAATAAACAGAATGTTCCAATATTTGTTGCGATTTTGTAAATAGCTCTTTAATGTTTCACTTGGTTAACTATTTTGTATTCTCTTTCTAGTTTAACACCTCAAGAAAAAAATGGCTCTTCTACCCCTTCCTCTGTTCAAAAATGATGGTATGTCTAATCCGTGTAATATAGGTTTATAGATTAATTGATAACTGAAGGAAACATGAAGTCTGGCTCTGTGTTTACAAAGCAGCTCCCCCCCCCTTTTTTTTTTTTACTAACTGCCTAATACTTACCCCAGTCCAGGGTTATGGTGATTTACTTGAGTTATACTTAATAAGCTTGGACAACTAATACGTTTAATAGTGCTCAGCTTTGTTAAAAACTGAAGCGCAAACATTCTTAGGAACAGTTGGAATCTGATGGTTGCTGAAGAAGGAAGCTATGTAAGAAAGTTGTAATGAAAGCAAAGTTTATCTTTGATATGATCAATGAGCAGTTTTTTTGTTGATTTTTCTAACTGAAAAATATCAAAATCTTTCCCAAACAGTCAAAGTATTGGTAGATTTTCCAGGTCTTTGTGTTTAGCTCCAAAAACGCTGGCAACATTTAAATCTTTTCTTGAAAAAGTACAGAGGGCTTTATTCACTGATGCCATATTCTCAGGAATGTCATTGCCCTAGCTACGGCATTTTGGCTTTGTTCTGGACTTAAATTTGTAACTTCAGGGTCAGGATTCTTGTAATTGGCTTTGAATACATGTTTTGCTCTGTAGAAGCTAAAAGTCTGTCTTCCATTTGCTAAAAAATAAAGCTCCAGTCCTTTTTATGAGCAAGTCTGCAAAAAACATCTTTGATGAAGCTTTGTTTGGTAAATAGAGGGCTGTGGCAGGACAGCAAGCAACTGACTTGGTGGCATTTGGATAATACGTTGACTGTTTAGCCAGAAAAAACACACACCCTACAATAGTGTCCCTTTGCAGAACAACTACAAACTAGAACCTTGCTAAGGTAAATAGTCTATGGGTATTTTAAATGCTGCATGAAAAGTAACTTCAAACTTTATGCTGTGGAATTCCAGATGCATCTTTTATTCCATACTTATGTTGAGGCACAACAAAACATAGGTCATGGAACAAGAATATCCTGCAAAGTGTTCAACTTTCAAAAGTTGTGTAACAATGAAGTTAGCATTTTTTGTTTTACAGCAGCTGTTAGTGTATCTGTAGAATCTAAAAACATTTCAGTAAAGTAGGAGGAGGCAAAGAATGGGTAAGAAAATGATGATGGGGTGAAAGAGAGGGAAACATGATTAGAAGCCACAAGGAATGTCAAGCTGAAATATAAATTACCCTCCAAACACTGGATGTATTACACTTTTTTTTCAAATGTAGCAAAATATTTTTCAGGTTAACAAAAATATCTCCATAAATAAGAAGTCAAAACAGAGATAGTCAAACATATAAATTTGACACCAGAATGTATATGACATTTTAGAACATGACTCAGTTTGTGCCTGTTTGTAATGTAGGTAGTTTGTATAAGGTGGCTCTGAGCTCTAATTTCCATATTTTTGTTACTTTATATCATGTTACATTTATATCCTTTCATCCAAGGTTCTCAAAGCAGCATATATTGTCCCCCCTCCCCCTCTATTTTATCCTCATAACTACCATGCAAGATAGTTGCTAGCCCATGGTCACCCACTGGGCTTCATGGCTAACTAAGGACTGAACCTGGGTTTCTTTAATTCTAGCTGAACACGCCTACCTACTGGAAGGTTACTTTTAACTTATAATGGGCTATTGTAATATAGTATGAGTTATTGTACCTGGTATAGTTTAGGATCAACCTAGAGGAGATCAACCCTGACTGCTCTTTAGAAGGCCAGATCCTGAAGATGAATACTTTGTCCACCTAATGAGAAGGAAGGACTCTCTGGAGAAGAGCCTGATGCTGGGAACAATTGACGGCAAAAGAAGGGGATGGTAGAGAATGAGGTGGCTAGATGGAGTCACTGAAGCAGTTGGTGTGAGCTTAAGTGGACTCTGGGGGATGGTGGAGGACAAGAATGCCTTGAGGAATGTTGTCCATGGGGTCGCGATGGGTCAGACACGACTTCTCGACTAATAACAACAACAATAGTTTAGGAAGTAGCTCCCCATATCCACTGCGCTCATGTCTTGCCACCTCTGCAGTCCAAATGCTTGTTCTGCCCCTTTCAAGCACAGGTAGGTAACTTGAGGCCCTTCAGATCTTTTTGGCCTATAGCTCCCATGAACCCTCACTATGGGAGCTGGACTTTTCTGGCCAATGGGAATTGTAGTCCAAAACATCTTCAGGGCCACAGGCTGTTTACCCCCACTTTAAAGCCTGCTCTAGTCCTGATAATCCATGCTGTTGGTTCTAGCCTGAGAAAAAACACTGTGCTTGGTGGGTGGTGGGGGGGGGGGAGTGTTTGAAGTGTGCCAGATTCCATAAGTGGATAATACTCTTAGGTTAATTAAAGAGAGGTTTATGTATAGAAGACCTGGTGTCACATTTCTGAGCAGGTTTCCCATATAGAAAAACAGAAACATGTAATTTTACATTGAATTTAGAATGAAGTATACATAAATGGCATGTTCGGCTCCATGTAGAAGAAATCCCTTCGTAAGTGTAAATATAATCCTTCTCCTGCTTATTTAATTTAGACAATGCCATCGTCAGCCAAAGAAGAAAAAAAACACTCAGTCACTTGCACATGAGAGTACATGGTTGATACTGGTTCTGATCAAATTGATAATATTTCATTGCATGATGTAAAAAGGGAAAATGTGTATGTCCTATGGTGTGTGGGATTCACAGCTGAGGCATTACCAGATCTGCAATGGGGAGGAGAAGGAAAATTAGAAGTGTAAAAGGAAATGGGGGATCTAAATTATATAACTCTAAATATCACAAATGAATCCAATTTCTCAAATCGGGAAAGTGGGTCCTTGAACTGGAAAAGTTTCCGGCCATTGGTTCAATCCATCTGCTCTGTATAAAAGAAAATTGGGATCCTAGATGGATTCGGTACAGACCAAGCTGGGTTTTCTGTGACTTAAAGAATGCTGGCCTAGCCTAGGTCACCATCTGTTGTCTTAGACTACTTCAACAAGGTGATTAAATCTGATTTGTCATTTTTCAGATCCAAGAAATAATATTTCATAGATTGGCATGCATTTTCAAACATTAAAATAGAAAATATATTTTAATTGTCCTGATATTATTGTAACTGCCTATGATTTTTAGTGTGGAAAGCCTTTGCCCTCATTTGCTGGGCTTACACAGAAGCACTTACACATCTTTGTTGCATTCTGTTTATTTCCTATGCCTCTATGGAGGGCCTGTGCCCGCATGAAGCACTGGTCCACATCTACAGCAGTTATGTCCGTATTGCAAAGAAATGTTGAATACTTGATGTTGTGCATTCAAACTCTGTCTAGCAAAGTCTTGCCTGCTCTACAGTGGAGTGGCTCTGCAAAGTCTTAGGCAGTGCTGTTTTCCAGCCCTGTTATCTGAAATCTTTTTGTCTGGAGATGTCAGTGACTGAATCAGTCACCTTTTGCATGTAGAGCATGTTCTCTGTGACTGGGTTTCACACAAAATGCAAACAGCTCAGCACTTTTCTACTGCACACATATTTTTGCCTGAACTTTCCAGTCAGACAATCTAGTGTTACCCATGACCGGGTGATTTCTGTGCTTCCCATGCTGTATCCCTGGCCTTGCCACACATTCCAGCAACCCCTGCAAGCAAAATCCCCATCCTTTCCATAAGGACCACAGTGGTCTTCTCCTAAGGGTGTGGTCCTGAGGTGGTTTCTCCCTTCTCTCTCCTGAGTATATTTTCAGTATTTCTCAGCTGCCCCAGCCCCCACAGAGAATGTTATTAAATGAAAAATGGAAAATTGTTTGTCCATGATTACCCCCTTCTCTCCTGGACTATTTTCACTTTATCTCAATTTCCAAACTAAACTGGGAGATTGACACATTGATCAGCCAATGGGAGTAAGTGAACAATGAAGCACATGTTGCAAAGCTCCTGAATGAAGTCAAGATCAAAGGTTAAAAGCAGCAACTTCTGTGGCCACTCCTGACAGGGGACTCTGTGGTATTTCCATGCCAGCAATGGTCAAATGGAAATCCTGGATCTGAATAACCAGAGAAGTCACAGTGAAGTTGTGGAAACCTGAGAAAAGACTGATAATTTTCTCCATGGTTACAGAAAGCTAATTCTACGTGGGAATTGTGGAGCTGGGACACAAGAGACCCACAACGATAAGATTTCACTGTGGCTTCTCTTGTTATGCAATCCCACCCTCTGAGATAGGTACTTTCTGAGTGGATAGTTTTATTCCTGAGAGGGTTGCAAAACTTTCTTTCCACTGAATATCATTCTTTATTGATAATACTGAATCAGTGGTACCAATGTCATTTTCTTTCCCTTTACATTTAGAATCTGGCTAGTTTGTCTCACTAGTTAATTTTCACACAGTGAATGAAGTCCTAATGCCAGATAACTTTCTTTCCTCTTTGTGGAGAGAGCATCTTAAGTATTTTTTTTTTTTTTTGGCTTCTTTGTTCCCCAAATATTTGTTTGGAATAACGCTGGAACTTTCTTATAAAGGTCTGGCTTTTGCTTCTGATGGAGATGGCAGCGAGACCATGTGTTTGCCCGCTCTGTTGTTGTACAGAGCACACCCTTCACTGTAATACTATCACCGATGGTCAAAATAGTTGCAGCTGCGCTGAGACTTGGATGGTTTAACTAATTACACAAGCAGCTTGTGCTGCACAAGAAACCTATTTTATAAAATTTACTTGTGTCTCTTTACAATCTAATTCACATTACAGTTCTCAAGATGAATGACAGGACCTGATGCCAAATCACCTAAGTTTCTGAGATTATGTTTGTGACTTTTCTGAAATCTTCCAAACTTGGTGGACTGTAATTCCAAGGAAGCAATCAGTCAGTGCAGTCTACCTTCCATTCCAACCACTCAGAAAATATCACTTTGTAGAAAGAACAGAGAAAGCTCAAAAAGCAGTTCCAGATTACAAAGACAGAAATTATTAGAATTGCATTTGCAGAAACCTTCCTTGATCAAAGTCTCCCGAATGATGCTAAAGAATTTTGGACACA